TTAAGATCCGTGACTCCCTGGTGCGGAGAGGGGAGATGGGAGGGAGGCGGAGGAATGCCACCCCCCACCCCCACCCCCACCCCAGGGTAAGGCCTCCCTGAGCTGCTGGAGAGAAACCCGGAGCTTTGAGGCAGTGAAGACGTTAGCTACAGGTCTTCATCCACACTGGTGTTCCTGGAGCCCAGGGCACAGGAGGGGCCCCCAGCTGGTTCTGTGGCTTCAGGGGAGGCTGCTTCGTGGGCAGCCCAGGGACGAGGACGCTGGGAAGAGACAGGTGGAGTGGTGAAAGGTGCTGGCGCGCACAGCTGCTCCGGCCGGCCCTGGGAACCCCTGCTCGGTCCCTTCCCTCCCTGATGCAAGCGGCAGGGAGAGTGCATTATTTTTTCATTAAAAATTCATTTTGGAACAGATAGTCTTCAGAGATGTAATTAGCCACATTATTTCTCTCCATTAGCAGTCCCTGGAGTTTGCTGGAATTTCTTGTCCTTTTTCCTCCCCATTCCACTCTTTCCATGGCCTTTAGAAGCTAGGTTGTAGCACTTCTGCCTCCCTCCCCCGACCATCACCACCCGTTCTGGTACTGGACCGAATACCCAAGTCCAGAATCTGGAGAAGGAGCGATGGCAGACTCCCTCCTCCTCACTGGGCTACAGGATCACAGTCCCCTGAGCCAGCAAGGGGTTCGCAGATGCCCACTCCTGCCAATGTGACACAGAGACAGCCTGGCTAGTGGCAAAGCTGGGTGAAGGTAGGGGGTTCCTGGCTCCCCTACTTACTCACTGGGTGATCCCAAGCAAGTAACTTAACTTTTCTGGGCTTCTTTCTGGGCGGCTTCCTCCGCCCGCACAGGATGGTCCAGGTCAGCACTGATGGTTGTAAAGCACTTCACCTGAGGTAGATAGCAAATGCCTGTGGTCTGGATGTCTGAGGACAACAGAGGACTTCTGGGGGCCAAATGATCAGTAGACATGACGGCATAAAAGATCCAGCCATGGCTTGGGGAGAGTCAGAGCTAAGTGCTTGCTGGTGCTCAGGGGGAGACAGGCTGGAGGCCAGGGGTCAGGGAGACCCATGATGAGGAACCCCTAAGGGGCAAGGCCCTTTCAGAGCAGGAAGGAGTTCATGGGGACTCAGGCTCAGCTGCCCAGGGCTGAGTGCCTCTCTTTTGCCGATTCTGGTGGATTCTAAGCCCAGCCATTTCTCCCGTGGGTTATTTCTGGCGTGCTTGACAACTGGATGGGAGGTGATAGAGGTATCATCTTCAACTGACTGGGGGGAAGCGTGGGCTCCCCAAGACCTTGAAAATGACCCAAAGTGCGGCGAATAACCCCTCCAGTGGCACTCCAACTGGCTCAGCGGACTTCAGCGAGGCTCGCTATTTCTCTGGGGAATTCCAACTGCCACAGCGCTCAGAAGACAGCCATCTGCATCCCCACCTCCCCGTTCTCTGCTTCCCTCACATTAGTGACACATGACGTGCAGCTGTCTCCAGCTTTGTCAGAAATACCGTGCTCCGTGGGGGCAAGGGCAGGAAACCTGCTGTGGGAAATCTAAACTTATCCTGGTTCCTCACAATGAGGGCCAAAGAGAAAAATACAGCTTTAGCATAAAAGATCATTGGCACTTTGCAATGAGATAAAATGCGTGTGATTTATACCAAGAACTAGCACAGCCCAGACGTAGACAGTCATGGGGAGATGTCCTTTGAAGGGGCTGGCAGATCACTGTTTCGGGGACATGGTCACATCGAATTGCATAGAGTTGTGTTGTGTTGCATTGACATAAGGAGTTCGAGGGAACTTAATTTCTAATACTGGCCTCAGCCCGCTTGGATAGTAATCCTGGTCGTTAGGTTCCCAGGGAAATGCAGAGAAGCAGAAACTGTCTGGCTCACGGGATCTTTGAACTTTCACACGGATGTTACAACAAGCCTCACGGAAGCAGGCAGCCCCTTGACTCACGTCTAGTCCATAGTGATTTTCATGGACACGTCTGGGCATCAATAACAAAAATAGGGATGCTGAGGTTAATAATACATAGCATGCACTGGGAGGCCCCGAGCTCCAGGCCCAGGCCAGGCTCTTTATGCACGTGGCTTCACTTACCCTTCAGTTCTGTGAGGTAGTATCACAGCTCTCCCTTCCCCTGACCCCCCGCAGAAGGGCAAGAGATAGTGTCAAGCGAAACCACCTTTTGGGGAGGAGGCGCACTGCATGGAGGAGGCCGAGTAGCACAGCGATGCCCGCCACCAGGCGCAGCATCCCGAGATGCGGAGCCACCCTGTGGTTTGCAGCTGTCAGCATCACCAGGAAAGACAGTACTCACACAGGACCCGGAGGGAACAAGGCTGTGTTCACACAAAGAGACAGATCGGGATCAACTTCAGCAGTGGGCATTAGTCCGCTGTGGCCAATGGGTCTCATCCCCCAGCCAACACAGGGCCATGATCTGCACGCACCCCTCTCATGCTGCAGACAAAGGAACCCGCTCCCTCCCTCCTGGGAAGAGATTCAGCAGCGGGATTGGCCAGGTGCCACCTGATGCACACACTTAAGCAGAACAAAGTAGCGCACATTGAATCTGGAACAGGGACAGACATTCCCACAGGAGGCGATAAATCCAGCACAGGCCATGAGGACTCCCTGTCTCTTGGTAAGGAAGTGTCCCAGGCCCAGGCCCACTCCTGAGTGGCCAAGCAGAAGTGGAAAGACTTCATGCCTTTTCTGGATAGGCAGGACCAAGTTCAAACGGTTGGATGGGCGGCATGGTCAGGATTTGAACCTGGGTTTTTCTGGCACCAAAGCTTTCTCATTGCGAGAGCCCTGCACTTCTGAGGATGAGCTGGTCTTCCCCAGGTACCTTCCAAGCCTCCCGGCCACCCTCCTGCTTCACCACCACTCCCTTCCACCAAGGGACAACCCAGAGTCTCCCAAGAAAAGATCGGCTGGGAGGGTTGCTCCCTCCCAGAACTTCTTTAATGCAAATTCTAGATCTCTCCAACCTTTGCCCATACTCCTATACCAAGAATAATATTTGAAAAGCTGGGATTCTTGTGCCCTGAAGAACCCCCATGTACAGAAATTTAAAGCAGAAAAACTGGCAGCTATCAAGGAGGGGGAAATGCATAAAAGAAAAGTGATGGGGGGGAATGTAAAGAATTTGAGGAATTATGTAAATAAATGGACGTGGTAAGGACCATTCAGCCCTGAAGAAATGAGATTGACATATGTAAATCCCTTGTAAGTTTCAGCAAAAAGGAATAAAAGGGATCAAAAACCCTTCTTGCTTCCGTGTCCTGCAATTCCATTTGAATATTAAGGCTCCATGTTGTGCTCTGAGGCTTTTGTAGTACGACCAAACCGTACCAGCTAATTTGGGCCAGGGTTATTATCTACAATTTACAGACAAGGAGCCAGAGGTGAAAGGAAGTTCAGTAGATGATCTATGGCCATCATGTTCATTTTAGAAGCCACGTCGGATTTAGCACACAGTTTTTCCAACGCCCTGCCTGATCCTGAACTTCTTAGGGAAAAATTGCAGTTAATTCTCAGTTGTCGACATCGTTAATGTGGAGGAACAGAGGCATAGATAATCCCAAATGGTGAGTAATGCCCATGCCATGCCTCCTGGTCTGGACATTTGCTTTGGAAGCTTCTTGCAGACCTCAGAATGGGGGCACCCTGCTGTGGGAGGCTGCCCCATCCTCATTCCACCACTTTCTACTCAAAGCCACCCACCTCCTGCTCCATGAAGACCTAGGGGCAGCAGATTAAGGGGACGAAGCTGTAATGCTTTCCTAGGCTGGCATGGAGTAGCAGAGGGAGGCAGAGAATAAGGTGTTTTGATTTAAAAGGACCCCCGCAGTGCCGAAAGCTAGCAGAACAGTAACAGTAAAGGAGACAATGAATTGTGTCCACTGAAGACTTCCATATGGATGTTGATTCATTATGTTAATAAGGATGTGAGAGCTGAAGGTTGACTGTATTCTGATTTCATGGCTGGGGGACCCATGGCTCAGATGGGGGAACATCCAAATTTAAGGTCTGAGTCCAAATTCCATCTCCAAGCTCCTGATTCCAATTTGGTTGATCTAATTACTACTATCTCTTAATGACTATGGATGCTTTCAAACCAGATGGCTTTAATGGCCGGGACCTGGGTAGAAATGCAAGCAATGCTTAAGGTAGAGAACCAGTGAGGCCGGAGCCAAGAGGAGCCAACTTGTCAGATTCATTCAACAAATATTGAGAACCTGCCAAGTGCCAGGCTGCAGGGATTGGTACTGGGAGGAAAGCACAAAGGAATCAGACATTGACCAAGCCTGAGGAACCCAGGGTAGGAGGGGAGACAAGGCACATACAGAAATCTCTGTAATACCTCCAGAGAGGGCAGTGAGATGAGATCTAAGAGAGCTTCGTTTATTCTTCCATTCAATTAAGTCATTCATTAGTCATGCGGGCACTGTCTTAAGTGCTCTGTATATAAAGATAAATAAGACTGGTCTTTAACCCCAGAAGATACCAATCAAATACACATACCGACACTGAATCACCCAGGGAGTTTTTCAAAATACAGTCCCCCGGATCCCCAACCCAGACAACTGATTCTGGATCTCTGGAATTGATACCGAAGAAACCTGAAGCTCAGAATCTAGGTGTTATCTGGGTTTGGGTACTGATCTGTGGGATAACAAGGGGAGGGAGCCCAGAGGAGGGCTAGCCAGAGATAGGGAGGAAGGCTTCCTGGCCCACCTCTCCTAGGAAGCCTCCCCTGACCTGCCCGGCACACTGATCTGCATGTTCTCAGCCCCAACCTCCACTGTACATCCTGTATGTCCTGTGATTTTCTGGCTGACTGATATCTTTGGTTGGTTCCTGGGTGTGTGTTACCTCTGAAGCTGAGTGTCCCTATGTTCCAAGGTCATTGTGATGAGTGTTCCAGGGGCCTTGTGACACATGCTGCCCGGCTCTGTTCAGCTGTGGGAGGTCAAGGAGAGGCCCAGTTCCTCCTGGGAATGAAATTCATCCCCCAAAAGGAAGATCACTTTCCCCTGCTAATTAAGCATCATTTAGGGCTCCAAGTGAGCCCTGGTCAGAAGCTGCTTTGAAGATATCCTGCAGGGGCCATGACCACCCTCTCTCCTGAAAACAGCCTCTCTGCCAGGTGGTCAGCCTCCTTCATCCTGGTGCGTGTTCTTCATCAGCTCCAAGTCCCTCCCTCCCCAACTTCTGGTTTGCATTAGGGCCACTTTCCTCAGTGGGGTGGGAAGGACTAGAACCCTGAGCTGGCCTATAAGGTTGAGCAGGGTAAGTTGTACCTTGATCTCACATCAGGACTGAAAAAACACAGGTCCCCTTGCCCCCTTCACCCTTCTTTCTAAGCCAGTTACCTTTCCCTATATGTGACATTCTAACTTTAATGACTTTTAGGTTTGCAAGTTCAATCTCGATAAATTTTCCTTGGTGTTTTTGCCAACAATTTTGGTATGCTGCCACCAGGTGGCAGTAATGCCTTTGTTAGTAGGTGGTTTCAAGCCCACTTAATAAGATACATCTAGTCATTAAAAGTCGGCCTCAGTCATAAAAGTTTTCCACATGGTATATTTTTCAAAATCATCATAACTAATTATAATGACCTTAACCAATCTCAAGTTTCATTAATCATATTGATTAAGGAATGATGTTATAGCTTTATTGCAAATTATCATCAAGTCTTGATATGGATTTTCTTTATATCTTTATTCATTTTTCTGAACTTATAGAGTGATAATAATAAAATAACAAACTGTCACATAGCCTTTAGTATGTACCACGACTGTTCTAAATGTTTTATTTATAGTCATTTATTCTCACCATGACCCTATATGAAGTGGATGATGCTATTATCTTCATTTTATGAGAAAGTTGGGGCACAGAGACAAAGCAACTTGCCTCAAGTCACACAGCTGGTAAGTGGCAGAGCTGTGGTATTTAGACCCAGACTGCGGAGTCCAGCTTCCAAATCAGTGATTCTCAAAGTGTGGTGCCCAAAACTGCCTCATCAGCATCAACTGAGAACTTGTAATGCAGACTCTTGATCCCCAGGTGTTCTGAACCAGAAACTCTCAGGGTGGGGTCCAGTGATCTGTGTTTTAACAAGTGCTCCAAGTGAGTCTGATATGCAGCTAACTTTGAGAACCGCTGTTTTAAACCATTCATTTAATCACTATGCTATACTGATGATACACCCCCATACCTGGGTTGATAATAATCACCCAGGTAACTTCCAAGTTGCACGTATGCCTCCTCCACCCCAATTTTAATACTCCTTCCCTCCTTGGGCTAGCCTGCTCTCCCCTGGGTGAGCCACTCTTATTTGGAAGTAAATATATCTTGTTCCTCAAGGGAACTGGAGTAGAAGAGGTTGAGATCAATAAGCAGCCAGTGACCCTTCCCAGGCCTACTGGGGGCTCTGTTGCTATGAGTATTCAGAGCAACATGACAACAGAAACCCTCCTGGAAAACTTGCCTTATCCTCCAGTAGCTTTCCTATTTTACTAAAAATATTAGAGGGGGCGCCTGGGTGGCTCAGTCGGTTAAGTGTCTGCCTTTGGCTCAGTTCATGATCCCAGGGCCCTACGATCGAGCCGAGTCAGGCTCCCTGCTCCGTGGGGAGTCTGCTTCTCCCTCTCCCTCTGTGTGCTCTCTCTTTCTCAAATAAATAAATAAATCTTTAAAAAATAAAAAAATTTAAAGTATTAGAGAAAAATCTTAACCTAGTGATGCAAAATAGTAGAGGGTGGTAGGATATATGCTATCAGAGGGTAGCAGGAAGATGTTAGAGAAACTGAACCACTTAGGCCTCCTACTTCTGGCCCCCCCACTCTAGAGGGAACATGGCCATGGTGTCTCTAGGTTTGCTAGTGGAGAGCTTTAACCTGTTTAAGCACACCATAAAGGTGGGAGATTTTCACAACTGCTCTACCTAGCAGTACTCTTCCTAAGAGACTAGGAAAAAAGCTACTGCAGAGCTGAAGGGTATCCAGCACCTCGTGGACTATATATCACCCAAGCCTGAATCACCAGGTCATTGTACCCAGATGGTGGTGCAGCATGTTAATAGGTTAGTGGAGCAAGGAATGGGGGATTATGGGAGAATGAAGGCAGATTTGAGAGGGCCATTGAGTTGACAATCTCTCTTACTTCAAAGAACCCCAGATACAGATTCTATGATTTCTGGCATAGACAGGCAGTGTGAATGTACTGGAGAAGAGAGGGAGAGGACTTCTGTGTGGAAATATTCCCAGGTCAACGGGCTTCTTGTGCTTGTCCTTGGCTTGTCAGCAAATGTCTTAGATGTTCTTGTGGTTGGCCTGTAGTTTGCTTAGGTTTGCCCATAGAAGTGGCGGAAATAGAGAAATTGAGTTTCCTGAAAGGGGAAGTCAGTGACTTTTTGTAAGTGAATTCAGCCATGGCAAAGTTAGGCAGATGGCCAATTGTTGCAAAGGTTAAATGATAACTATAAAGTGCTTAGGACAGTGCCTGGCACATCATCAATGCTTTGTAAATGTTTACAACCAATCAGAGAATTTACTGCATTTGTTTTCATAAATGATTTATTTGGGTTTCTATCATTTTTTATGCTTTATGCTTTTATTAATTCCTTGTTGTTTCGTGTATTATTTGCTTTTATCTTTAAAAGTGAATTAGACGGAAACTGCCCTGTTCCTATAAATCTCTAATTTTTAAAGTTAAAAAAAATGTTTTCTTCTGACTCCATCCTTCAACCTAATAAAAAAATGTCTGTAGTTAAAAATCTTCCCACAAAAAACACTCCAGGCCTTGACGGCTTCACTGGTGAGCTATACTAAATATTGAAAAAAGAAGTGATACTGCTTCAATACAAACTATTCCAAAAAATTTTAAAGTGGGAATACATCCATGCTCATTCTATGAAGCCAACATTATCCTGATACCAAAATCAAAGACATTACAAGAAAAGGAAATCATAGACCAATATTTCACGTGAACATTGATGCAAAGATCCTAAATAAAATTTAGCATATAGTCTCCAATAATATATATATAATATATATATAATAACATATCACCAGTGGGGTTTATCCAAGAAATGCAAGGCTGATTTAACATTCAAAATCATACAATATAATTTACCATATTAACAAACTAAGAAATGAAAAACTGTATGATCATTTCAACAGATTAAGAGTATCATTTGAAAAAATCCAGTAGCCATTCTTGATAAAAACTCTCAGCAAACTAGGAATGGAAGAGAGCTTCCTCAACCTCATAAAGGGCAGCTACAAAAAGCCTGCAGTTAACATCATACTGAGTCATGACTGTCTGAATGCTTTTCCTCTAAGATTGGGAACATAGCCAAGATAGTTCACCATTGCACTGGAGGTTCGAGCCAGTTCATTAATAAATAAATAAATTTTTACAATAACATCCCCCCCAACCCAAAATATTTGGGGATAAATCTGACAAAATATATGAATATCCTACATACCTACAAAACAATGCTGAGAGAAATCAAAGACCTAAATAGATGGAGAAATATAGAGTATGTTAGTCTTTGTGTGCCATATATCTATTTTAAAGATATTTATTTATTTATTTATTTATTTATTTGAGAGCACACAAGCGGAGGGAGGGGCAGAGGAAGAGGGAAAAGCAGGCTCCCCGCTGAACAGGGAGCCCGATGCAGGGCTTGATCCCAGGACTCCCAGGATCATGACCTGAGCTGAGGGCAGACGCTTAACAGACTGAGCCCCCAGGTGCCCCTTTACTCTGTTATTTTAGCATGAAAGCAGCCATAAACAATACATGAATGAATGGGCACGGCTGTGTGCCAATAAAACTTTATTTAACAACAACAACAACAGAAAAAACAGATTGCAGGCCAGATTTGGTCCATGGGTTGTAGTTTGCTGATTGTTGGCCTCTGTAATAAATCCCCATGGAATCCACAAAAGCTACTAGGACTAATAAGTGAGATTAACAAAATGACAGGACACAAGATCAATATATAAAAACCCATTGTATTTCTATATACAAGCAACGAACAATTGGAAGTTGGAAGTTTTAAAACAACACCTTTTACAATAACATCTCCCCCAACCCAAAATATTTAGGGATAAATCTGATAAACTATAGAATAGTCTACATACCTACAAAACAATTGTGAGAGAAATTAAAGAAGACCTAAATAGATGGAGAAATATACCATGTTCACGGGACAGAAAGCTCAATATTATCAATTCTCCCCAAATTGACCTATAAATTCAGCACCATCCCCATCAAAATCACAGCTGTCTTTACTGTAGAAATTGATAAATTGACTGATTTCTATGGAAATGCATTGCCAAAGTTCATGATTAAGGACCCCAGGACACAGCCCAACGTTGTCTATTGTCTCCTACTTCCTGTCACAGTGCATGCCGAGTGTTGCAGTCTGAATATAGGTTGGGAGAACGGGATGGGAGTCTGAGGGTAGGAAGCCGGGCTCTGCTCAGACGACAGTGTCTATGCAACTGGGGCATGGCATCAGGACAGACCCCGCTTCCCAAGGTTAGGTCAACAATGAGGGTGGAGATTTTGGGTTTTGGTTTTTTTTGTTTTTTTTTTTGGTATCTTCTTGGGCCCCTGTGTCTTATTTCGGTTCAGAAGATAGAGCATGTATGAGTTACTAAGGGGCTCAATCCATCCCTATCAAATGTGGGGTTAGTGGAAATTATCCCAAATCTGGGCCCGTGGGTTCTTATTTTTTTATTTCCAGCGCTAAAGCAATTTCTAATAGTTTGCCTCTCGTGATCAGTGGACCAGCAGCATCAGCGATCTCCTGGGAGCTTGTTAGAAATGCGTCATCTTGGGCCCCACCCCAGACCCTCTGAGTCAGAATCTGCATTGTACGAAGATTCTCAGGTGACTCATATGCAAAGTCAATTTGAGTCACACATGTGCATATTCAGGTGTATATCAATGGGGAGTTGGGAGTGTGTATATCAGACATGTCTAGTCACCTGCCAAGCTCTGTCCATCAGCACATCCTCATGCTTGCAATATGGCATTTCAAGATATGCTTCTCTCTAATAAAGGCTTCCTCTAGGAAGCTTCCCCCTTCTGACAGGAGCTCTTACCTCTGGTTATTGTCTTATGAGCATTTTTAATTACTTTGCATGCAGTGCACTCACCTCCCCCCATCAAACACACACACACACACACACACACACACACACACACCTCTCTTAATGTAAACCAGAAACCATTTCTTATGACGAACTGTTTTACTCTTCCAGGAAAGGCAAAAGGTAGCTCGTCGGAGTGTTTAGTGCTTACTTTATATTTTTCCATTATCAAAGCAGTAGACATTATTACAGAAAAGTTTGGAAACACAAGAAAAAGGAAAAGATTATGTAGGACCCATGCTTTTGGTGGGGTTTTTGGTGGGGATTTTTTTTTTCATTTTTTTTTCTAACAGAATTTTTATAGTGGTTAATTCACTACACATTAGAGTATGTAAGGTGTAGTTTTCATAATATGGAACAGGTATATGAGGAGTATAGTGCATAGAGAGGATAGAGGCTAGATACTGAATGTATAATTTTGTATTCTCCTTTTTTCCATTAACATTTTCATTTTTCCAGGTTATTATTCATTCCCTGTAAGCATCATTTTTTATGCCTCACAATAGTCCATTGAGCATATAAATTATAGTTTATTTAACTATTCCCTTATTGCATAATGTTTAGAGCACGTGCGGTTTTCATTTTGGTAAGTAATGCGCAATGAAAATTATTGTGCATTCAGCATTTTTCTATAACTTTGCAGTAATTTCTTCAGGGTAGATTTCCAGAAGTGAGTCAGAAGTGGGGAACTTGATTCATATTGCAAACTCCAGAGTATAGCGTGGAAAAAAAAAAAATCACACTTAAAAGAAAAGCCAAAGGTTCCTAACAGAGGGCTGAAGTGATTGTCCTTGCCAGGCGAAGAGAAAACCACCCATTGACAAGACGGAATGGGATGGCTTCTTTGATGAGAATGGTCTGTTGGCCAAGTCACGAGACCTCATTTGTGTGAACATCCTGGAGCGGGTACGGTCCTCAAGGCCTCGCCCTGGCACTGGAGGGCATGGGTGGGCAAGGGGCAGGCATGGCGTTTGGAGACACCCTCTTGGCAGGCATCTGGAGGTCCCATGACCTCTCACCTCTCATGCCCACCCCAGGGTCTGCACCCCTACGTGAGGACAGAAGCCTGGAAGTTCCTCACGGGCTACTACTCGTGGCAGAGCTCCCAGGATGAGCGACTCACGGTGGACAGCACGAGGAGGTAGAACATTCCAGATCCTGTCAGGGGAGAGTGGGTGGCAGTGCAGGTGGGAAGGAGTGCCCATCCCAGCCTGACAAGTGCAGTCTTCTTCCCCCAAATGGATTTCTTATTCTAAGAGACAAACTCCCCACGTGCTCCTGACCCAGGGCCCGAACCCAGGAGGTGCCAGCCCCTTCCCGCCCAGCTCCATTTAGCAGCGCACAGACTGCCCAGCCTGGGCTGGATCCCAGCAGGTCCCTCTTCCCCGCCGCCATCTCATCAGTTCCTTCCCTAGGGCCTACGCAGCCTATCTGAGGTGAAGATTCATGCACAAAGGGCCAGTGAAGAATCATTCAGGGCAGTAGGGGAACTGAGGGCCAGCCTGGAAAGCTCGAGAGCCCAGACGGGAGCCTGTGTTAGCTCCCCGAAGCTGCTGTAACAGGCCCCACAAACGAGGGTTTTGCAACAGCAGAAATCTATTGTCTCCGTTCTGGAGGCCAGAAGCCCAACAGCAGGGTGCTGGCAGCGCCACACTCCCTGAAGGCTCTAGGGAAGAGTCCTCCCCTGTGTCTGAGGTTCTGCTGGCTCCGGGGACTCCTCCCATCTCTGCCTCTGTGGTTACATGGCCTGTTCCTCTTCCCTCTGTCTCTCTGTGTGTCTCTGTGTGTCCTTAGAAGGACACTTGCCGTTGGATTTAGGGTCCACCTAGATAATCTAGATTGATCTCATCTAGAGATCCTTAACTTAATTACACCCGCAAAGGCCCTTTTCCAAATAAGTTCACATTCACAGGATTCAGCGGTTAAGGCGCAGACATATCTTTTGAAGGGTCGCCATTCAGCCTCCTACAGCACTTAAGCATGTTCTAATGACGGACACTAGACACTGTCTCATCCAATCCTTCCAATTCTTAGGCCAAGGTGCCAGGATTATCCTTATTCTACAAAAGAGGAAACTGAGGCTTAGAGAGGGATCGTGATGTCCCCAAGGCCTCACCCTCTTTGCAAACACCCAGTTATTAATTTGTGGAGCCAGGATTCAGGAGCAGCCATGGGACCCCCAGGGCCAAAAGACTGATCCCACCTCCATGCTGCCCTCCAGGGGCACATTAGCACAGAACGTGGTTAGGGCTGGCGCCTGATGGAGATGAGGGGAAACATCACACACAGGTAGGGGGAGCAGCCTAGTGGAGAGAGCTGCTCAGACTTCCCTTGATTGGCCAGGAGAAGGCTGCCTCCTCCAGCCTCAGTTCTCTTTGCACAGGAAGAACTATGAGGCCTTATGCGAAATGTATAAAAAGATTCAGCCCCTTCTGGAAAACCTGCACCGGAACTTTATGGAGACTCGGAATACCATCAGTGAGCTAGTCGGGTGGGCAGGGCTGGGCAGGGGGGAGTGCCTGAGGGCATGCCTGCTGGCTCCTCAGGCATATCCAGGGCAGATGGTTTCCCAGTTCCTGGGAGCTGCCTTGAATTCTGGGATTCTGCTGGCTAAATCCTGGTTAGTCCATCCACCATCTCTCCTGGGGGCTCCTACATGCCTAGCGTCATATTCTCCTGAGTGCATGCTGTTCCTGCTGCTTTGTCTTCATCTCTCCCCTTTGGCCTTGAACTAGGCTGGATTTCAATTGGATGGGACCAGTGGAGTGGGGATGGGGTGGGGGGGCATTCTTGGCAGAGGGTATGGCCTAGTCAAAGATTTGGAGGTGGGGACAAAGCCAGGCAGCTCAGGATGTGGTGCGGGGCAGAGTCTCATGAGTGGATGTCACAACCCCCTCCAGGGTGTCCTGGGTCCTGCCCTTTGGGGAATAAACTCATTCATGGCCCCTCTGCTGAGGTGATCTGGTGGCACCTACCTGTCTCTTGTCCCCAACCTAGCATATGACATTCAGAAACTCTACGACAAAGACCCCCTAGGCAACGTCATTATCGACAAGAAGAGACTGGAGAAAATCTTGCTCCTGAGTTATGTCTGCAATACCCAGGCAGGTGGGCCACAGGGCTGAGCCTCTCCTCAGCCCCCTCTTCTCAATTCCTTCCTGGAATCCCTTCCCCGCCCAAGCCCAGGCTCACCATTCTTCTCTGTCCCCCCACCCCCACCCCAGAGTACCAGCAGGGCTTCCACGAGATGGTGATGCTTTTCCAGCTGATGGCGGAACATGACCACGAGACTTTCTGGCTTTTCCAGTTCTTCCTGCAGAAAACGGTGAGGGTTGGACCTGAGCTCAGGGACCACCTCGCTGCCACTCCCCAGACACCCCCTGGAGGTTAGGCAGGCAATGGGAGCCCCAGCTCTTTCCTCCAGCCCTGAAACAGCCCCTCTGGGTCCCAGAGGAGCCTGGGCAGGCAGCACTCACCCTAGTGAGTTTATGGAGCATGGGTTGTATGTGTTGCAGGCATTGGAGTTGAGGAGGGGGCTGGAAGGGTGCTCTGGGTCCAGCTCTCACCAAACCTCGAAAGAGTGTAACTGGCCAGTCCCAGGGATGGCTCCCTCTCCTGGCATTCCCCTCCCAAAACATGGCTCTGCTCCCACAGATCCTCTCCATGGCTCCCCATCACTTTCGGAATAAAATCCAATAACCTTTGCCTGGCATTCAAGGACTATCTTTGGCCTTCTCTCTCACTGCTCCCTTCACATGACCCGCACTTCAGGCCCACCAGGGGACTCGGTACTCCCCAGACACACCCCACAGTGATCAGGCTGAGGGCTTTTGAAGTTGCTTCTCTCCAGAACACCCTCCCTGGAAAGCCTTTCCTCATGGTCTGTGAGAGGCTGTCCAGAATTGTCTCCGTCCCTGCAACAATGTGCTCACTGCTCTTCCCCTGTCCTGCCTGGTTCTGACCCATGGTGTGTGTGTGTGAAAGCATAACTGGGCTCGCTGCATTGAGAGCCACACCCGAGACATCTCTGGGATCCCCACCCCCCCACACACACGTAGGTGCATACGCATATATAAACGAACACACCTACAAACACAGATCACAGAGACACAGACATGAAGTGAGTGTGCACACACACATACACAGACACCCAGGCTCATACAGACACGAGCCCAGCCTGGAGCCAGCCACACACAGGGCCTCCAGAACTGAATTGTTGGTGATGTAGGCCAGCCCTTAAGCAGAGAAAGATTCAGTTGGTCTCCCACCCACCCATCTCTCTCAGGAGCACAGCTGTGTTATCAAGATCGGAGTAGGCAAGAACCTGGACATGCTCAACACCCTGATCAACTTCTTGGACCCTGTGTTTGCTGAGCACCTAAGTGAGTGGACCACCCCCAACCTCCTGCAGACGTACAGCTCCCCCCACAGGGCAGGAATGAGAGGGACCCAGGATCCAGCCCCAGGGAGCAATGCCCCGTCATGGTGGCGAGAGAGCAGGATCCTTTGGTCTTCTCTCCGGGCCCTGGGAGGAGGATTCATCTAGATGTGCGGTTGGAATCTGGACAGTTGAAAATTCATTCCAAACATTCTCCGAAGATAGTTGGCAACATGAAAGCCAGGCATTTTGGGTTTCCCCCATGTGTTCACGTGCCCTGCTGTTCGGCCTGTCTGGGCGCTTCTGCTCTATCACTTGTGCCACCCCTGGTTTCCCTGACCCGGGCCTCTGGGCTGACACCCCGTGTCTCTCTCCACAGGAGGGAAGGGGGCGGGGGCTGTGCAGTCCCTCTTCCCCTGGTTCTGCCTCTGCTTCCAGCGTGCCTTCAAGTCCTTCGACGACGTCTGGAGGCTCTGGGAGGTGAGTCCTCCTTGGATGGAAGGGCTAGGCCCCCACCCCTCCAGCGGGCAGGGGGGAAGCCCATTTCCTTTCTTCCTGACTTGGGATGGAGTTGAGCGGGTTGGGGTTTATGGGGCCTTGTTGGAGGAGGTGAGCGCATCAGCACGTCCTTCCGTTCATTCAGTCCCACCAGGACCTTCTGCAGGGCAGCAAGGGCAGGAGGAGGGGCCCCTCAGCCTGTGCGGGTAAAGCCTGACCTGCTTTCCTGCCCCCCCTCCCTGCCCATGCAGGCCTCCCTCTGCTCCGCCTCCCCAGCTGCCCCTTCCTCTGCCTTCCCCTCCATTTGAGTGCTGGCTCCCTGCGGGGCCCTCACTCATGGAGAAGGAGGGGCCCTCCAAGGGCAGGTCAAAGGTGCCCTTCTTTGATCCCAGGCCCTTGGGCCATCAGCCCATGAACCTCCCCAGGAACAGACCCACTACCCACTTCTGCTCTGCCCAGCCCAACACTCAGCCTGGCATTCAGCGACCCACAAGTCAACTCCCGCCCACCTTAACCCTCCCTCATGGCCTGCTGGTTTCTATGCCCAAGTCCATGGCCACCCCCAGACCTCTGGGGACAACCCCTGGATTGTTGACTTATCAACCGTTGCTTTGCCAAAGCTGCACTCAAATGCTTTGGATATAGCCACCGGGTCATTGTCCCTCCTTCTTCTCCCTCCCCCCCTCCCTCCCTCTCCCTTTCTCTTTCCCTCCTTCCCTCTCTCCTCCTCTCCTCCTCTAGCTAATGATTTCCCTGAAGCTTTTTCTCTGAGTCCCCCAGTAGCCAGCACAATACCTGGGATCCCCCGAGGTAGCACTTGCCTGAGTGAATGAAGGAGTCAGCAGTGAGGCCCAGGGACAGCTGACCCTGGGTGGGCCTGTGGTCAGTGAGCACCTCACCATCTGAAGGGCTAGGAGGCCCCGGCTGAGACTCAGGGGCTGCCTGCAGGTTCTGCTGACAGGGAAACCCTGCAGAAACTTCCAGGTGCTGGTGGCCTACAGCATGCTGCAGATGGTGCGCGAGCAGGTGCTGCAGGAGAGCATGACCAGTGATGGCATCCTCCTGGTGAGAGCACCCTCGGGCCAGGCCAGCCCCCCCCGAAACCCCTGCGCCATCCCAGCCCTTGGCCCCTGGCAGGAATTGTGATGCCCTGAGCATGGTGCTTGTGCTTATATAGACCAACGCACGGGAGCCCATGACAGGCCAGATGCAGAGGGACCATAACCACCACGGCAGCACCCTGATTTAACATAGGAAGAAACTGAGGCCTTGAATGCTTCTTAACCTCTAGGTTTACTGCCTCACAGTTAACCCCCTGGGCCCCAGGGTCCCCTGTGGCAAAAGACCGAGAGTTTTCTGACATTTCTAAAAAGCAACTGGAGTCTGGGTTTAAAAAAATCTAGGGCGGCAGCCCAGTTACAGACAAGTTACAAACAAGTTCTCCTTAGAAGCTCCTGAGACCCTCAGTGGAATCCTGGTACCCCTCAGAGCCCAGTATGAAAATGACATTTACCATCTCCCCGCAAATACCACATTCCAGTGGTGAAATCGCCGGCACTGTGCCAGGCTGGCTGGGGTGAGATCAGGCGGCCCTGGCGACTGCCATGAGCAGTGGCCTTGTCCCGGGCGAAGCAGCAGGAAGCTGCCTGTGTCCAGGGAGACCTGCTTCCTCCCGGCTTCCTTTCCCGGCACAGGCCTGCAACAACCTCATTGACCTTGACGCGGATGTGCTGATCTCTGCTGCCTGCTTGGTGTATGCTGAGCTCATCCAGAAAGATGTAAGTGACCCTCATTATTTGCCTTCTTCCTCTTCCTCATCCAAGAAGCCCTCTCTGATTTTCCAAGCCCAGCCCCGGCATATGGCAGGCATGTTCGGCTTCAGAGACACGGTTTGTGCCTCGTTCTCTGCCACCAGCCCATGGGTGTTGCTCTGTGTGGTCGCCTCCTGTTTGCATATGCAAATCCCACCTCCCCAGGGAGACGGCGCTGCCCAGCGACTTGGACCTCACCGCTTGTGCCCTGCGTCCATCCCAGTGGGTCAGGCACAGGGCTGGGCACCCTGAGGTTCAGTAGAATGTCACTGGATGGACAGACTGAAGAATGAGAGCAATAGACCAACATCTGTCCACCTCAAACTGCCGGAACCCTCCTCTTCCCCAGGTTCCTCAGCCATTAAAGGACTTCTTTCTCTGAGGACTCTTGCAATGGACAGATGCCCTCAACGGACAGGACGGAGGTGGGGCTTCAGCCGTGAAGTCCGACGGGGCGTTAGGGTGAGGGTGTAGGTAATACAACTACACTGGAAACAGCCTCTGGAGTCACAGTTTGTGGTGGGTAGTGTGTCTCCTGTGGACGCTTGAGGGCCAAGCAGAATGTGCAATACAGACAGAGGCCTGGTGGGCGAGCAGGGAGATGGTGAGGGAGAGGGGGGCAGGCACACCGGGGAGACTGCGCCCGTCGGCCACTCCTCCACAGCTGAGGGTTTGCCAAGGCTACGGTGGCTCCACACTCGAATGCACCTGGGTCAGGATAGAAACAGCTTCGAGAGCCTCCCTGCCTCCAGCAGAGGACAAATTGAACTCGTCTCATAGACCTGCTCCATCCCTGGACCAGGTCTTGAGAAGAGGCCTTGACCACAGGGCTTTGCACACACTCCGCCATTTTCCCCCTTACGCCCAACGCCGTGATCCCACGTTCAGTGGTTCATCCACGGATTCCCCGGCAGTCTGTGGAAGGACACGGCCCAGGTCTCTGGCTAGCAGGCCATTCCCCTCCTGGTTTCGAAGCTTCACAAGCACACCTCCACATCTCAGCCTGGAATGCCTCCTCGGACTAAACTCTTTTCTTTGGCCTTACTCAGTCTCTCTAGAGAACGCCCCCTGTTCTCTGGCCCAGGCAGTCCAGTTGCTCCCTGGGGCAGAGACTTGTGCAGCCCACTCTTCCCAGACAGTGCCACAGCCCAGAAACCCCTGCCCAGCCTGCTCTCCGCCGAGGGTGCCCTAAGGGCAGACAGAAGGATGCGCCAGAAGGGGCTGAACCCGCAGAGGCGCTGGGGCTGGCCAGGTGTCCCCATATCTGCTCTGTAAGTGTGTATACCTGCATGCCTGTGCACGCATGCGTGCACACACACACACACACACACCCCTACCCAGCGGCTCCACCTTTTCAGAGGGGCTGACGGATGGGTAGGCAGGATCCACTGGTTTTGCCATGACCCTGGCCCCCAGGAAGAGGCATAACCTTCTTCTCACTCTTCCTGGGCTGCCCCTTTCTGCTCCCATCCTGTCACTCTCATTATCGTCACTCAGAAAGCACTACATCCCCAATTAGTGTCCGGTCTCCTTCCCCTCAAGAGACAGTCCCCATCCACGGCTAGCTCTGAGTCTCTTGGCCGCTGTGTGTGTGCTGGAGGAGGGTGTAGCTGAAGAGTGGGGCCCTGGACCCCCACCAGCGTCTCTCCTGCACGGCTAAAGAGCCAGCACTTTCCAGGCAGGAAGGCACGTGGGTAAGTTCATGTATTGCGCTTCTTGGGTTTATGTTTCCAAGACAGTTCATTTAAATAAGTCTTCCTGCGTGGAATACAGTTCTCTAAGAACAAAACCATGTTTTCATTTTACCAAAGAACCAGAGTCAAAGACAACTTGGTGCACCAACTGTGGCCTTGGGAAGAGTCCAGAGAAACATCAGATATGCTCTTCCTAAGGCATCCTTTGGCCTGGTAGCATCAGTTGGCCTATGATTGTTGGCTGAGACATATACACCATGCCAGACATCTATTCCAAAACTAAAAAATTCAAGAACTCACTTTCTAGACCAATGGTTTCCAAACCTGTTTGTAAAATCATGTGCTAAAACCACGATTATACAATCTTTCTCAGGAGCCCAGTGTTTGAAGTTTGGGTGGGGAGCCCAGGGCCTTCCTCCCTGTGATCCCCCTCGACCCCTCCTCAAACCTCATGTCATTCCCTATGATACCTCCAAAGAACCTCTGGCCTCCTGGGAGCATGTCTGACACCTCTGTTGGTCTTAAACATGAACTGGATTGAGTCCTGACACTGAATTGATCCAGGTTCAGATGAATGTCAGGCGATGGTAATGATCTTAGAAGAGCAGGCTTCTCTCAGCTCATCTATAGCACCGTTGGCCAGTGGAGTGTGGATTAGGATCTTCACACTGAGCTGCTGAGCCCAGGCTTCTCCTCACTTCCTTTATCACTTTATCACCCAGTGTCATGTTGTTCTAGTAAGATCCAGTCCGGAGATAGAACTATGGGAAGCTTTGAAATCCTAGAGCCTAAGTTCCCTTTAGTGTAGAGACCGTGCTGGTCTAAATAATTTGTTGCTCCAACACACGTTTATTGAAGCCTTACTGTGAGCTGCCCATTGTCCATGCACTGAGAATTCAAGAGTGGGGTGATGAGCGACACAATCCCCAATTCTGGGTCACATAGAGTTGAGTGGGGACCAGATAATCACCTTAAAGAATGTTTAATTGCCAATTTCCTTTTCGTGCCCTGAAGGAAAGGAACATGGTTCTATGGGAGAAGATAACAATTAGTGGTGGTGGTGGTGATGTCAGTAATGATGGTGGTGATGGCGTGATGGTGGTGGTGTCAGGGGTCATGGTGGTGATGTCAGTAATGATGGTGGTGATGGCGTGACGGTGGTGGTGTCAGGGGTCATGGTGGCGATGTCAGTAATGATGGTGGTAATGGCATGATGGTGGTGGTGTCAGGGGTCATGGTGGTAAGGTCAGTATCATGATGGTGGTGACGTCAGTATTATGATGGTGGTGATGTCAGTAATGATCATGCTGGTGTTGTCAGGGGTCATGGTGGTGATGTCAGTAATGATGGTGATGACGTCAGTAATGATGGTGCTGGTGTTGTCAGGGGTCACGGTGGTGATGTCAGTAATGATGGTGGTACTAATGGTGATATTAGCAATGGTTAGTGTTGGTGGCAGATATGACAGTATAAGCTTTGGTGATGATGATGGGGACATCAGTGAGGTGGGCGGTTGTCAGTGATGTTCTTGGTGCCAATGGTATGGTATGGCTGGTGGCAGAGGTGTGATGTCGTTAATGATGGTGGTGACGTCAGGGGTAACACTGGTGGCAGACGTGTAATATCCAGCCTGGCAGTGGTGGAGATGTCACTGTCAGTGGGGTGGCAATGGTGTGGACTTTCGTTCCATCAGCAAAAATTTACTGAGTGTCTCCAGTGGCCATCTCAGTGTTGATGCTGATGGTGGTCCTGGTGGTGATGGCAGTCATTCATGGTGGAGATGAAAACAGTGATAAATTTATTCTGGAAAAACTAATGCCTAACACACTTCCAATGAGAAAGACCTAAATATAATATTTTTAAATAAGTCATAGTGGCCATAAGCATCGGAATAAAGAAAATCGAAGCCCCGGGGCCCCATCCAAGCTCTCCAACATCGGTCCTGAGCTTGATATGAAAGCCTGGACCAGCTGTATTTCTTCCATGACCTCACCAGCTCCCCCTCCTTCATTCTTGTTCTAAGCCTCTTCCCCGGAGGTGGTTCCTTCTCCCCCCTCTGGCTACCTTCAGTGACCCCAAGCCCACTTCTTATTCCTGGAGCCAGGATAATGGCTCTCTACTCACTAAGAGCTTTGCAGAGGCAGCATATATAAAGATCTGAGTTCCCTGGGCCCCAGAGCCTGTGTGTCAGACTCAAAAACCCAGGCTGGCCAGCAGAGCCTAGGCCCGGGCTGTAGCTCCAGACCTTTGTCCAGTGAGGGGGAAGGGCTCCTCCCTACCTGCTAGGAAGACCCCAGCTAGGGGAAGGGGCCTCCACAGCGCGGGACCCAACCTCACTGACCAGACTGGAGGCTGGAGCACTGGCCTCTGAAGAGGAGGGTACGTGGCTGGTCCTGCCCTCTGACCCTCTTCCCTTGGGGTGGAAGCAGGCCCGGGTCTGCAAGTCCAGAGCTCCTCGGTGCTGGGGCCTGAGCTGGAACCCCATGGAGAGGCCTCTGAGAAGCCCAGCCCCAGACTCTGGAGCTGCAGCCCCCACCCTGAAGGACAAGGCAGCAAGTCTTCCCCAATCCCACCTTCCTCTGAGGAACCTGAAGCCCAGAGGGAGGGGACTGTGACAATGCGGAGAGGCCCGGGGCTCCAGGAGGTCGGACCAGGGCAGGAACTGTGGCCCGGACCCTCTCGGTCCTCACAGCTGCCCTTGCTGAGTGAGCGCTGTGCCCCAAGCCTGTGCTAAGCACTTCACAGGCTGCCCGTCCCCGAACCTCATTCAGAAGACAGACGCCGCCATTACCCTCTTTCTCCTGCTGAGGAACCAGAGGTGCAGGGTTTACGGCCAGTGATAGCGCTGACAGGCGAACCCCAGAGCCCACACTGTTAATACCATAGTATTGGCTCTGGGGGAGCTCCCTGTGTCCCCCTCCCTGCCTGCTCACAGCCTCACTCCGGCGGATCATCTACCCCACGGCGCACACCCGAGTCCCCTGTCTGCTCCTCTGCAGGGCAGACCCCCCACCCCACAGGCCACCCCTGCCCTTGGCAGCCGAGGACCCACGGGGGGCTGGACTACTGAGGAGCGTGCAGGAGGCTCTGTCCCACCTCCCTTATCCTGCCCCAGAAGTTAGGAGAAGGCCAAATCAGAGCCATGTTCATTACCACGTCTTGTTTTGAAACAAAGTTCAGGTTGCGCTGGCCATTCCTTCTCCGGGACTGGGGCTGAGCTGGGGCTCTGGAGGCACAAGGACATCGGCGTGCAGGGGTGAGTGTAAGGACCCAAGAGGGGCTGCCGTGCCTCTCCGCCAGGCACAAAATGGCGACAGCAAAGCCTGGGCGGCTAGCATGAGCCAGCAATGTGAGTGTGGGAAAGGAGGGGTGGAGGAGAGCCGCACAGGAGTAGCCCCCTCCGCACCCCAGCCCCTGCAGGCCCCTCTCTGGACCAGCCCCTGGCAGGGAGGTGGGGGAAGACCGAGGTGGAGAGTGAGGAGGTTCCATGCTGAGTGCTAACCTGCCACATGCAGGCTACCAGCCACACCACCCGCGAGGGGAAAGGAATTATTTCCCAGACCTGGAACAGAAGCACTAAGACCCACACCGTCTTGTCAGAGCCTGGGGCTAGTGAGCCTATAGTGGGAACAAGATTAGCAGGAACTGGAAACAGGGGAGGTGGGTCAAGGGAGGCAGCGGGAGGCTGGGGGCAGGGTCACAAGCAGTAACTCTGAATCTTGGCTGCACAGGAGAATCACCTATGCCCAAGGCCCACTGATGAAATCTGAATCTCTGGTGGTGGGGCCAGG